AGAATTTGACTTTTAGGGAATGTGATTATGCACAGAATATGCAGAAGATTTTTCAGAAAATGGATTCCCAATGGGAGCATATTATGAGCTTTTTGGCTAGATGTTCAAGCGACCTCCTTTACTTCATGATTCATGCTGCTTTTTTATTTTACAGTTTTCTTGAAGTTCGATCTACCACGCATGAGTTGTGGGGTACTCAAGCGTTGAAAAAACGCTGAGAATCGGTCAAGATTCCTTTTGTGATCTCCACATGATAAAGCTCGATAACTCATACCCCCCCCCCACCGGTTATAGTCTGTGACCTCCTTTATCATATATAGGACTAGCTGGCTTACCCGGCTCCGCCGTATCCGGACCAAACTTGGCACACATACACTTCGGGCCCCGGCGGGTGTCACAGTCCACTTTTCGTTATCGATCGATGTCGATTTTACCGATTTTTATCGATTTTTTTGCAGAGTTCACCTACAGGGCTAGGAGTTGGCACAGAGGGGGGGGGAAGTGAGCATGGGGATTCCGAATACAATATTAGTTTTCAGAATTATCGATTACTTTTATTGATTTTATCGATTTTTTGTAAATTTTGACATGCGAGGCTGGGATTTTGCACAGGGGGTAATCGAGCATGCTGATTACGAACACAATATTAGTTTTCAGGATCGTCCATTACTTTTATATTTTATCGATTTTTTTTGTAAAGTTTGACCTGCGGGGCTGGGAGTTTGCACAGGGGGGTAATCGAGCATGCAGATTGCGAATACAATATTAGTTTTCAAGATCGTCCATTACTTTTATCGATTTTATCGATTTTTTGAAAATTTGAGCTAGGGGGCTGGAATTTGGCACAGGGGTGTAATCGAGCATGCTGATCACCCCCCTTGGGGATGATCAGCATGCTCGATTACCCCCCTGTGCCAACTCCCAGCCCCGTAGCTCAAACTTTGCAAAAAAATCGATAAAATCGATAAAAGTAATCGATAATCCTGAAAACCAATATTGTATTCGGAATCCCCATGCTCGATTACCCCCCTGTGCCAACTCCCAGCCCCGTAGGTGAACTCAGCAAAAAAATCGATAAAAATCGATAAAATCGATATCGATCGATGACGAAAAGTAGCCTATGACACCCGCCGGGGCCCGTAGTGTATGTGTGCCAAGTTTGGTCCGGATCGGTTCAGAAATGGAATTTTCTATTCGGAACATACGTACAGACATACATACATACAGACAGACATACAGACAGACAGACAAACAGACATTCAGCTTTATATATAAGAAGATGGATCATCACCTTGTGATCGCGAGATTGCAATTCGGTTTAAACATGCTCGGTCACGGCTTTGTGAATACAAGAAAGCTAGCTTCTCCTCAACCGTAGCTGGCCCTACATCGAAGCGTTGCTCCATCTCGTAGAATTATTTTGAAAAATGGAAAATTGCGTTTATACAGGGTGTCCCAAAAAAATGTGAACACTTTTTGATCGTTAATAACTCCGTTGCTTTCATGTCTTTCGCCGAGCTTGAGGCACCATTCTGTAGAGCGAGGTTCAACTTAGATTTGTGGTATGGAGCGAATCATTGATCGCTCTTTATTACTGTAGGATTAAGGTATGAACTTCTGACATGTGGATCTATTGTGAAATATGCCATTTGACAAAATTCTTTTCAAAAAATCTGAACAATCGTGTATTAAGGTTTTCGCGCTCGCTGATTCCAGTTTCTAGCTTTTTTGACGGTGTAATCACATTTTTGACAAATGCTGGATATTCGGTTATTAAGGTTTACCTGAAATAACCCTGGAAAGAAGCGTTACAGCAAGGTGGAAATTTCATACTCGAACTCAGCGGCTTCCATTTCCCATGTATTAAAGTTTTTGGCTTGTTTGGTTTTGTTCCGAGGCAGAATATGGCTTTCAACGGCTTAAAATCCTTGTCAAAGTTCCTACCGTAATCCTACAGTAATGAAGAGAGATGGACGACTCCCTCCATACCATAAACTCAAGTTAGACCTCGCTCTATAGAATGGTGCCTCAAGCTCGGCGAAAGACATAAAAGCAAGGGAGTTATTAACGATCAAACTGTGTTCACATTTTTTTTGGGACACCCTGTATTCCATACACGGGGGCAACCGATATTGCTACTAGGGCGTGAGTGTTAGCAACCATGTTTGGGCGCATTAGGGGTGTACGACATCAGCTTAGCTAGGCTACTTTTTGGATCAAATTATTACGTTAGTAATAAACAGCACAACATAAGGGCAGAAGATACCTTTAGGCCATTGTGACCTGATTTTGATAAAGAAAGTATGACGGCGTTACCTCTGCTGAAGATACTTTATGGAACGAGAAGTGCCTGTAATGAGATCGTGAGAACACAGTGAGTGTAATCAAAATGTTGAAATCAGGAGAAAAATATTGGGGAGAGATCATAGCCAGAATAAATGAGATATAACAAATTAATGGAAAAATTTTGCACCCAACTTTAGAAGGGGAAAATTTGAGCAAGTTGGTTAGCAAAACCATAATTGAGAGCATATGGTAGGTGCGGACCGGATAACCTTACAAAATTGGCTTATTGCCGGAAGACGGGCTGACAAGCAGGCGAAAGTTTGGATGATTTCGCACAAAAGCTTCTTTGCTTCTTTGTGTATTGACAAGGGGGGGGGCGTTACGACTCATATAGCAAAACATTCTTCAAATTTCTTTCGAAAAATGTCAGCATACTATTAGTTCATGATAGCTGCTCGATCTAAACAGATGTCGTCATTTTGGATATTTAGACCTAATCTCAGCATTTAGAACATTGATAGATGCGCGTTTCCGTTTATTGTTACATTCAAGAGCAATTCTAGATAAAAATATTGTCTGAAGCACTAACAGCAGACTTGAAGAGAAAACAGTTTAGAGTAGTAACCGTCCCAAATCTTGATTTCTTACTTCTGGGAATGCGCCACGCCTCCATAATCGAACATGCCAATCCCTGTCACCGCAGAAATTTTATTTGTTTTTCTTTTTTTCAGTGAATAATAAAAAGCATTTTAGAACACTTTCGTAAAGAACCTGATGTGAATTTGTGGTATTCTTGATAATCATTCGTCTTTTTTTGTACAAGTTAAGGTCTATCATAATTTGTATTCTCGAGATAATCTAATGTCTGTTTTCAACGCAGATTATCACCCAAAACCGCCACAGTTTGACTGAACAAGAAAAAATATGGATAATTCAAAAAAGAGATTGCCACACCGTGGTAAAATAATTGCGCCAAGGACTCATTTTTTCAGTTGTTCTAAAATATCTCCATTCTTACACATTTGCGATGATAATAGGTCGCTCCGAATGTAATTTCGCGTGTTCAAACCAGCGATAATGACTAGTCCGAAAGGAATAGCCTAGAATAAAATTGAAAATTCAAGAGCACACAAAGTTTGTGAACGGAGTGCGATATTATATAAAGCCATTTAGGTCTTCATGCTCAGGATTCTTATCCGGAGAATCCGTCCGTTTAGAACTCAAAACTTATGTGAATTTACAGAAATATATGCTCCATACGGTCTCAGATCGTATGGTAACCGGCTGGAAACCGACTAATTTTGAAAAAGGTGTTGCGTCACATAGGTTTTCGCTTCTTACATAATTCTTTTGAATAATATTCTATGCCTACAGTCCGAATTTGGTGTCATACGCTTGTCTCTACGCTGTAAACAAGCAGTTTGCTTAGGTTTTGCTTTCAGATTATGCGCACTTTTTTGCAAGAAACGATGAAGCAGATCCACCATGTTATGAACTGTCTCTATAGCTTGTGCTATATTGTCTTGTAGACTGTACATGCAATTTCCCCCACACACTTTTCTAGTAATGCATGTACAGAAATTTACGGGGCTTTACCGAGGGCCCCCGCGAAAACGATATCCCCTCTACTTTCTGTCTCAAAAACGAAGTCCAGAGCTCATTCGATCTGTGCCGGGCCCTGACTACCGTCAAGATATGAACTTGAAAGTGAATGAAATACAACACCCGCTGCGCATCGAAGTGTATGCTGCAAAGTTTGATCCGGATCGGTTCAAAAATGGAATCTTCTATTTGGAGCATACATACAGATACATGCAGCAGACCTTCAGCTCTATTTATATAGTCGTCCTCATCCCACTAGTCGGTCGGTGGTCGAATTTGAATTCGAACTGGAGCAGGCTGGCCGCGGCAGAGCGCGGCAGACGCCGCCTCCAGCCAATCGCTTGCACGAGCTTTCCTCTTATTTTCTTCGTGTTTCTTTGCTGTCTCTCGTATTGCGGCAATGTTCTCAATCAGGTTTTTAGATTTTGTGCCGTTAACTATTGTTTTGTGCATTGTGCTCCTTTGTTCAACACTTTTTTTCCAAGTAAACCGGGAAGAAGGATGCTTTTGGAGATTTTTGAATGAGATATCTCTTTTCCGGTAACTGACATATACACAAATGTGATTTGATAAACTTTGTCAAGTTTTTCTTCAAAATGTGTACTCCAAACTATTTTTTTTTTGCGATAGGGCTGAAAACGTCTCAAAAAGTGTTTGTTTCAAAGAGTTAGCGGTAAGAAATCTGAAAATCTGTTAAGAACATTGCCGCAATACGAGAAATAGCAAAGAAACAGGAGAAAATAAGAAAAAGGTCGTGCAAGCGGTTGGCTGAGGGGCGGCATCTGCCGCGCTCTGCCGCGGTCGGCCTGCTCCAGTTCGAATTCAAATTCGACCACCGACCGACTAGTGGGGTGAGGACGACTATAGATATAATTTGAACAGCTTCGAAGATTTGATAGAACAGATTTTGCGAACATTCTTCCGTCCTCTTACAATGAGTGGTGCCGACAGTACAAGACGTTGTTGAAAATAATCTGAAATAGACTGCAATTGCATTATAAGCGAGTTATAAAACACTTTGTAGTGCTGTGTCTGACGATCCTGGTGGATCCAAATTATTTGTGCTTGTGTTCGGGCTAGTACTGGGATTTATTGTAGTCACCTGTGCAGGAATGGCGTTCAGGTACCACAGTTTTCGGAGGTAAAACTTATAATGAAAAAATCTATCAAGGCGAGCAGAAGAGATGCTGGAGCGGGCTCAAGAGGAACTGGAGCAAGGCCGACGAACGGGTACTACAGCAACGGGGACCCAACAAGGATTTTCTGACATACAAGGTTGGAATTTTTTCTCTATCCGCCTGGTGTGCTCATACCCAAATGTTATGCGATTGAAACTTTCGTAATTGCAGATCACGGATTCGATGATTCTCCTCCACCATATGATGAAGTCTACAAGGACGAGCAACCACCGCCATCGTATGAAACTCTTGGGAATTATGGAAACGTTCCGCCCAACTCTGGCGCAATAAGAAGAAGCTTAACTACGGTCAATGAACAGACTACTGGAAGGATAACCGAACTTAGAGCACACGAGGGACCACCATCTTACATGGTATACATTCCACCTGATCGGTCAGTGGTACATATCTCAGAGACTTCTCGAGATTTTTTTAGTTTCTAAACTCTTCTATGGTTTCAGATCGGCTCCACCTCGACGAGACAGCATCAGTGCATCTGATGCGGCTCTTAATATCTCTACCACATTAGGACAGATGCAAAACTACATGGAAGAAGTACAGGAACGATTTTCAGGTAGGGATTCAGATGCCACACATCTGCAGCTAAATTATATGATTGTCACTTTTGTACAGCTACACACCAGTATAGTAAGCTGTTATTTGAAAAAAAATTTTTGAAAGCGTTATGAGACATAACAAAATGAATTGCAAGACACTAGAATCTACGTTTTAGAGTGTGTAGCAAAATTAAGTAGAGTAAGTCGCGAAAAACAAAGTTGTGAAATTATGCAAATGACTTAATTTCGCTACAAACAATCGAAATGACTCGATGCGTGTCCTTTTCCATGAATAGGGTCGCGAGTTTCCCTCTGCTGAGTTAGAGATTGCACAGAGATGTGCTCACTTGCGAGTAATGTTCTGTTTTCGCAAAAATTCTGAAAAACAATTCAAAAGTTTCCGGAGCAAATGACTAATACCACCTTTTGTTTTGAAATATCATACAATGACGACAAATTCACTCTGTTTTTATCTTTCCAGACGTCGATTTGTTCATATCAAGCCTCTCACTAACGACTCCGCCACCTTCCTAACATCGAAAAAATTAGCCTTACTGCTTACACTCAAGCTCAGTAGTCAATTTTTGTACATAAGACTCCTCTTTCGAAATTGAAAATGGTATGTGCAGGCTGCAAATTGTCATGGAATTTAATTACATTATGTGATGTCTGTCTTCGATTGTATGCCCTTGCATATACATTGACATAAGGCCCCGGACAGACTTCACGCGACTTAATCGTCGCGATCTAATCGCCAAGATTTCCATTCATTTTCATTTCACATTCAAAAATATCACAACCGAATGCAAGTTGATCGGATGGAATGATGTTGTAACAGTTGTCTCGTCGCGACTCAGTCGCGACGATCAAATCGCGTGAAGTCTGCCCGGGGCCTAACGGTGCTATGTGATGCTCTCTGCTAAACAATGTTCTCAAAAATTTGCTTCTGTACGGAATTCTTCATAATACTATCAAATGCTTATTACTTTTAAGTTGCTTAATCTTTTTTTCAGAAATTTGTGGCACAATAAAATAAATATCTATTTGCTGATATAGCTCAAAGACTACAAAGAAAGACTACATATACTTGGAGTTATCACATCCGGGAGGGAGCTCGAAGAAAACTTATTCCGGTACTCCAGAAATATACGTTTACATGCCAGCCCACTACCAAGCGTTCTTACTATCTTCTACACTAATTACACTGAACAAAAGCAAAATGCACTTAGATAAATCATGCGAATATATAAACATTTGAATTTATCTGTATATCTAGAACAACCACACCTAAAACTTGCGGTCATATATGGCTTGGTCAATGTGGCTCTACAAGGACTCGCGCTATTTGAGTAAAAATCTCATTCAAATACAAATTTGAATAAAACATATAGAGTAATACCTTCGAAATCTCAATTTCAACAGTTTGAGTTTTCAAATTTTGATTGAAAACTCGTCCCACTCAGAGAGTATGATAAAATGCAGATTCAAAGTATAATATTCCATTGTATAAAGTGGGAGAGAAAAGAAGAGAGGCAGGACGATAAGGGTAAGGGGAAACATACATTTGTCTTACTTGTCAAGGTTAATTTCAAGCTGTGAAAAATTACTCTACTAAAATGTTGAGTTATCAGGCTCTGAGCGTCGACGTCGATGTCAGTTAGTCTACGAACTCATCGACGTCGAGCACAAATCACAATCCAGGTAAAAATTTGAGCTGAAGTATGATAGCAGTCAAGAACTAATTTTATTGTCAGAATCATATCTCCGCCCCAAAAAAATCTATAAAAAACTTATATATTTTAGCATATGCTCGACACATCGAACGTCCAATTATACAGTTTCCGTATTTTTCCCATGGCTAGAAATAAAGAAAAAATTGAATGGAGAGAATGGCAAACTCCGCCTTTAGAAGTCCTGAGCTCGTCTCACACAAGTGATCATATAGCTCATACATACAAAAGTGAGATCATGTGTTTGAAATTTGAAGGTGCCCCAGTTCTCAGAAATGCTGATGTTTAGGTAAAAATGGTAAAAAATTATGGGACCTGATATATACGCACTCTGGTAATCAGTGTACGTATATATGTATTGTACGTACAACTATGTACAGATATATTGGTATAGTATATTGGTACTTACTGCCGCTGCAAGGCAGCTTACGCGGTACGCTGTTTCGTAGATCTTTCGTTTCACTCTATGTACGGAGATGTGAGAATGTATCAGTGAATTTGTCACTCCACATTAAACTTGCTTGTATCCTATGTGATTCGCAAACGACTGAGAAATGACTGCATTAATATATTGGAAGTGGAAACATACGAAGAGGCTACAATAGGTGACACTGGCTTCTTGTATGCTTCTTGTATGGTACGGCTGGGATATCCGGGTGTTGGCTATCAGTGCATTGATGTGGTGTCATGTTTGATCTAGTGGATAAGTGACCATTTTTGATTTTGTTGAATGAGCTAAGCCGGTAGTTGCGAAACGTTGAAGTATAAGATTAGTGCCAAAGTAATGTGTGTTATTTTAGGCCTTGTTTCAGGACAGCTTTTTTTCTCAAGACTTCCTTCCTTCACCTAATAGCAAACGGTTGAAAGCTCTTTTCACGCTCTATCCAATGGTGTTTGAAACAAGGTTCTTGCCTCAACTGTCAAAAATTCATGAATTACAGTTCATGAATTTTTGAAATTACAAAAAATTCAAAAATTACAGAACCGCATTAAAAACCAGAATTTCATTGCATTTACTCTGGCCAGAATTTAGGCGCGAATGTTGGCATTCAATCCAAAATTCAGCTAATGCATGTGGTGGAATTTCTATAAATGGTGCACACTTAAACATATTTCCTGAGATTATCTAAGCTGAGAAATCGACACCTCAACATGGGTAGTCATCGCTTTCATTCTATGGTCCATTAATTTCTATAAAAAAGTAATCGCCGAACTTTGCAATTTTTTCAACTTTATTTTGAGGGTCAGTACTTTTTCCGCACCCTCTATATAAGACAACCGAGAAAGCATTTGACAAAGTCGAAACCTACGGCATCCTGTCAGCGCTAGTCGATCAAGGAGTGGACCAAGCTTACGTGAGGACGTTAGCCGACTGCTACAAGACTGTACAGCGATGATGCAGCTATTCCATCTCCTGTGACCATCTTATTTGGGAACGCGGTCCGACATGGCGCACAATCCCGGCGAAGCTGTTCACCGCGGCCTTGCAATGGTGATGAAGTTTGGACTGGGACGAGAGAGGCGTACGAGTTGATGGGAGATTCCTGCCAAACATTAGTTTGCGGACAACATCGTTCTCTCTCCGAGCGTATCACTGAATCAGAGACAGAGCTGCCCACCTTTCGATGCAGCATTTGTTATGTGCAGTTGTACTACGAAAAAATCGCACCTAGAAATTGCGAAATTGATCACATTGTTGCTCTTTAGCTCGCCCCTTTCACTGTCAAACTTGCGCTTTGAATGCACGATTGCTTAGCAAAATATCGGCCTTCAATGGCTCATAACTTCGCCCACATAGGCGCTAAGCAGATAAGGAATACAGTTTCGGAGTCAGCGTTTTGTGCTGCATTTAAAGGCGGTGTCCAAGCAAAAAGTCGATTTTGAGATTTTGTGCTTACCCGGGCCTATTCGCCATGCTGAAACCGATAAACCACAATGGAGAGCGCGAAAACGCCAAAAAGGGCCCTAACGTAGGAGGAAAATCGTAGGTAGGTGGAGCCGTTCACACCGCGACGTCACTCTCCCAGGCTTTAGGAGTGATCTTCTCGGTTCCGATTTTATGTCATGCGTTTCGCAGTTGGGTGGTGGTGATGTTAGTGCGGTTAGCGGAAGCGAGAAGATCGCTCCTAAGCTGGGAAAGTGACGCCACTAAGTAAACACCCCGCCCACCTGCAATTTCCCTCCTCCGTTAAAGCCTTTTTTCGCCGTTTTCGCGCTCAGCAATCTTCTCGCTTCCGCTAACCGTACCAACATCACGACCACCCAACTGCGAAACGCATGACATAAAATCGGAACCGAGAAGATCGCTCCTAAAGCCTGGGAGAGTGACGCCACGGTGTGAACGGCTCCACCTACCTGCGATTTTCCTCCTACGTTTTTCCTTCAGCTCTGTCTCTGATTCAGTGATACGCTCGGAGAGAGAACGATGTTGTCCGCAAACTAATGTTTGACAGGAATCTCCCATCAACTCGTACGCCTCTCTCGTCCCAGTCCAGACTTCATCACCATTGCAAGGCCGCGGTAAACAGCTTCGCCGGGATTGTGCGCCATGTCGGACCGCGTTCCCAAATGAGATGGTCACGGGAGATGGAATAGCTGCATCGTCGCTGTACAGTCTTGTAGCAGTCGGCTAACGTCCTCACGTAGGCTTGGTCCACTCCTTGATCGACTAGCGCTGACAGGATGCCATAGGTTTTTTCGACGTTGTCAAATGCTTTCTCGGTTGCCTTATATAGAGGGTGCGGAAAAAGTACTGACCCTCAAAATAAAGTTTCAAAAATCGGTGTAATCACGGGTTTGGTCAATTTGGCATAATTCCCAGGATGTGAATATATTCTAACATTTCACAGAGACTGGCTTCAAAATTCAACAATTTTACCCGGCAGCGGATCCCCTTTCGCAGTGCATTCATGTCAAATCTTGCAACTACCCTTTACAAACGTGGAAAAGAATGAGGATTTTTGGGAAATTTTTTTGTTTGTCATGCGAACTTGAGAAATCCTCTACTGCTGGAATGTGGTAGTGAATCCCGAAAGATTTTGAAAGTAGCCAGTCAGCAGTTGCACTAGGAGAAAAGCTGTGAATTTTTCTAACGAGAAAGTGGCTACGGAGCAACAGAACGCGATCAGAAGAGGTGGCACAGGAACTAGGTGTAATCTTTTAGTGAGCGAAGATTGGATTTGTGTTATAACAATATCTTAGCGCCTTTTTCTTGCAGATTTTTATCTACAGGTAGTCTTCCCATGTTCACTAGTATGCCAACTTTGCGCAGGAAAAAGCCCATAACTCACTTCGGAATGGTGTGTGGCAGCTAGTATAGCATATTTGGAATCAGCGTTCAAAGCTGATTCAGAACATATATGTCCCTTGCCAGAAGGTCGAGCTAGGTTAGGTAGCTTTCCTTATAAGCAACGAACGAAGCAAGCTGTATTATAATTGAATTCTGGTGGTGGCATTTGGAACGAAATATCAGATATTTTTTGTGTCTACCTGCGAAGTTTGATTTTTCATGTTATTTAGCTTCTCTAGAGAGGAGATATGAACACCGTTTATAGTTAGATGCACTCCCAACTAAGCAAATACTAATGTATCTGCCCCGACCCACTTACAGCGGCCCGTAGGGCCGCTAGTCTTACATATAAAGTTGAATGTCTGTTTGCCTGTCTGTCTGTATGTCTGCCTGTCTGTACATATGTTCCGAATAGAGAATTTTATTTCTGAACCGATCCGGACCAAACTTGGCACACATACCCTTCTGGGAGGGCGGGAGTCATAGGCCACTTTTCGTTATCGACCGACATCGAT